AAATCGCAGTGTCTTGGCCCGGGACAACACTCTACCTTGGCAGGTTTAGTTGTCTGGGATCGCTGCGCAGTCTGTGAGGACACAGGGACTGCCGAGGTGTAATCTGGTTTGACCAGATATGCATGTTTGAATCATTTGACTCAGGACCAGCACACCTTCTGGATTATTTATGCTATAAAAGCAAAAAGGGTTATTTCCATTACTGAGGTCTGATGTAATGTAATTTCCCAATATTTCCAATAGGAGAGGTACTGACTTTTGTTTGCAGAAAGTTAAAAATTGCTAAATGAAATATATATTTTATTATTATATATTTCCATTACAATAGATTCTAAAGGCCTTAATCAGGACTAGAGCCATCTAAGTGCTGGTCAAATATTTCTTGATACTTTCTTAAGCTCCTCCTGTTCCATTTTATTCTGTTAACATCATTCGTACATCTATAATCTTCCTGGATGTAGGGTTCAGTTGCTCCTTCCTGCAGGGAAGTGTCATTAATATTGTGCAATAGAAACATAAGCACTTGTACCCTGGTTTGCATTGGAAAGTGCACTGTGAGTAGCACATCTCAGTCTGGAGAGACAGTGACTGTCATGCCTGGAAACTGGGCCAAATTCATCCCTGAAGGCATGGATCAAACCCATCAACCTTTGATCAGTTTTCAGTTGTTTTCCTTAGAAATTATTCTGCCATCTCATACAGCATCATGATCTCTAGTATCTGCCAGACACTAGTCTCTGAGCCTGGCTCAGAACTTATCTCCCCTGACTGTTGGCTTCAGGGGAGTTACAGCAGGGATGAATTTGCCCCCACATATTTTAAATACAGTGAGGTTTCTAGGGGTTGTAGCCATGTTGCTAAATGTTGCCATGAGACACATACAGAAAGGGAGACCAGCGTCCAGGACGGCGAAACCCATTTCCTTTCTGCTGTAAAAGCTGATTTAACAGTCAAAAGACAAACTTTTACCCCATAGCAAAGGGAACCAAAAAATGGAGGAAGGAGCCTTATCCAGCCTGTCCCACTACTGCCTAACTAGGAAGTGAGGTGTGAGGACCATGCATTCTCCCTGAATCTTTTATGGCAGTGCCCAACACCAGGCTGAGCATCTTTGGGCTGACCTGAGATCTTAGAAAGATGTGGCAGGCAGTGCACTTCTGAGTAATTACCTGGAACTCTTGGGGGCATCAGAAGCCAGTTGAAAGCCCAGTAAGTTTAATACTTAAGAAGTGTCCTGAAATGTGCTGGTCTACATACCGGACGGAGGGTACACATTACAATCCAGAAGAAAGACAGATCAAGAGATTTTAAGGATCACATTCTCTCAGATGTGAGTGCTTGGACCCACTCAGTCCAGTCAAACCTGCATATCCACTACACAGCAGGATTTGGGTCTATGATAGTTTTAAAAAAAATCAAAAAAGACAGCTGCGTTTGAAATCCAGCCAGTCAAGAACCTGAGTGATGTTTGCAAATAGGTCATGTGACAGACTTGCTTTTTAAAAGGCTAACTATAGTTACTCAAGGAAGATGCAGCTCCTTCTTGGTTAAAATGGAAGGTTAAAAAACACACACTTAGTATGGGGAAATTTTCTTTGTTTTTAATTTACAGCAGAAAGAATATAAAGCATTCAGAAAACATTTTCCATATTTTAAGGGCAATTCAAAACATTTTGCATGGTTCCAGCAGCTGAGTTCTTCAACAGATCCATTGATTCAGTGATGCTTTACATGCACAGTTACAAAAATAAAACTTACAAAAGAGAGACATCTATACTAGTTTTACATGCAAGTTTTGGGGACTCCCCATCGGGCGCCAACTACTGTGTGGAACTGCTGTAAGCGTGCAACCATAGAGGGGGTTCATGTTATATTCTGTATTTCTTTCACACAGTATTACTGTTTTCAGATGTGTTACATGAAGGAGCAATTCCACTTGCAGGAGACAGAAGATCCTGCTCCTGGCACTTGGGAATCCTGATTTTCCCAGAAAGCTGCACTATCATCTATTAAAATATGAGTTCCACAATCAAGAAAAGGGTGAATAGAATCACTTCACTTCAGTGGGACAGTGTATTTAACTCACCAGTGGTCACTGATACACTGAAGACTTATGATCTGACACGGCAAAGCACTTAAGGATATACTTAACTTTAAGCATGTGAATACTCCTATGGAAGCTAACAGAATTGCTTACATGCTTGATATTAAGCACGCACTTATGTGTTTGGCTGAAGCAGGGCCCCTGTCAGTAGATACATCACAAGGCCCATGGATTTGGAAGAGTAACTTGAAATAGCTCTGTATATTACTGACTCTGTGGGCATGTCTACATGTGCAGTTAATGCTATTTGGCTTTACTGTGCAGTAAATTTACAGCGCGGTAAACTAATTTACTTCACAGTAAGCGGTGACGCTTTACTGCACGGTAGATTAGCCTGTTGCACATTAAATCATCTTGTGTAGACATGGTTTCTCAGTACAAACGCAAGGGGTTAAATACTGCCACTGAGGTCATTACTTTTTCTCGTTAGG